ACACACACACACACAGCCCTAAATCCTAATCCCGGAAACAGGGCATCCTACACCATATCCCAAACTAAGGGGGCTTTAATATATAGGTCCTTTAGAAGCTCTTTTCCCACTCGTTTCACACTGGCATCAATATATAGAGCTACACACACGTAGATCAGAGATTCAGATGCCCTCGGAGCACAAATCTAGTATGAAGAGTAGCACCCATTAATCTGAAGCCCAAAATCCAAAGCTGCACTTTCACATGTTCGGCTGCTGCAACAAAGTCAGAACCCAGGAAAAGCTACTCTACTGCAGTGACTCTGGGGCCACCTGCTGCAAAGGCTCTCGGCTGCTAGGCTGCATCAGAGCCTGCACAAGCAACTCTTTCCATAAAACCTGTCTTTACAGTCCTGCTCGGTCGAAATACCCAGCCATACAAGTTTTAGCTATGTGTCACCAGTCTCTGACTGTACATGTACTACTAAGCAAACACTATAGCTTAAAAGACATACTATATTGTGAGCCTTCCTGGGGCATCGGGATCCAGCCGGCGATTGCTTTGGCCAGCACCCACCTAGGCGAGGCCAGTGCTGGGTTCATGGTTTGGGGCTTCAGCCCATAAGTTGAACTCAGTGAATTCGCACGAATAGTGTGTATTATATGCAAGCTGCACACCAATCTGTAGAGGGCTGACTTTGACATTTGGGGTAAGGTTTTACCACATCCGTTCGGATTTTGGGGTTTGGGGCTGTGGCTTCAAAACTAGAAACACTGATTAATTGTGGTAAGAGTGGCTAGGTTTGGGATTTAAGGAAGGTTCTAGGCTTATGTCGTAGGTATTCGAAAACACAGAAACACAAATCTAAAATATCCCTAAACCCTAAACCCTAAACCCTAGACCATAAACCCTAATATGCCACAAAGCTTTGAATCCAAGGAAAGCCTGGCCACATCTCCGGCATTGATCCTTTGCTCCACGACACACAGGTTCCCTGTTTCTTGCGATTAACCTCGGCAGTCATTAATGGGGCAATGATTGAGGCTTCTTCATATTTCCATTAAGAAGCAGCGAAGTCCTTGTGGGGAGCAAGTGCTCGGTTGACATAGAAATTCTTCTCATTCAGCCGAACAGTGATGCTTTTGCACTCTCCTTTTGCTTTGTGGGTCTTGGCCGGGCAGGGCACTGCAAAGGTCCTTGGTGGAGCATATGACTTTGGACATCTAGTTTACTGCTAGTGCAGAACTTTGAAGTATGCAATGTACTGGACGGTTTAGGGTTTAGGGTTTGGGGTTTAGGGTTTAGGGTTTAGGGTTTAGGGTTTAGTGCAATCAAAGGCTCACTTGATCCAAGGCTTTCCATGAGAAGTCATGGTCGTTTGCAGCCCCAGCAGGACGGCAATCCGGAAGTTCATCTATAAATTTTGCTGCAATATCACGGGCACGGGCAATATTTGCAGCTTTCTTCTCCTGGCTGACCTTCCACCCAGCTGCATTGACCTTTGCAGCAGCCTTAGGCTTCACATGCTTGCATACACCCTGTGGATCCACTACAGCCTCTGGTTCTTCCTGATCTGCCTCAGCGGGTGCTTCCGACTGTCCTTCCTGATCTGCCTCGGTGGGTGCTTCCGACAGTCCTTCCTGAGCTGCTTGGGTGGGTGCTTCCGACACCTGAGCTGCCTCTGTGGGTGCTTCCGACAGTCCTTCCTGAGCTGCCTCAGCAGGTTCTTCCGACTTTTTCTGTTTCTTCAGAACCTTCTCTGCCTGCTCCTGCAACATGAGCCCGATAATCAGTGCACCAGGGTCTTTTATTAGGGTTTAGGGCTTTAGATGATTTTGTATGAGCACAGAATCTGGGGTGAGTTATAGAGGGCATTAAAAAACAACATAATCCTATAACCAAAAGTTATAATTCTTATATAGAACAATATAGCACACTCTAGGGTACTGGGCCGGAGGCCCACAACATCCTACACCTATAAGAAGCCAGATCCATAGAGCCTAGCTAGCTTCTATAAGAGCATTTCCCCATGGCCAGTAAGAAGCACAAGCCCGATCACGCCTCCCGTTGCCTCTTGCGAACATCTGCCTGCTTCTTTCGCAGGCCGACGAAATCTGCATCATGATGTATCGCTGGCGCCAGGCAAGCAGGGAGCGGTAGAATCAAGGCGGGGTCCAGGAGAGGCCTTCTGTCCTTCCAGCATGCAGACAGTACTCTTGGCTACCTTGATCGGGCTGGGTGACATTTCCCACCTTGTAGGCTCCATTGCTTACACGAGGGCCTTCATCATCATCCGGAGCCGAAGCCTAGGAAATTTGTTACCACCACGGAAGCCCTTGCCAAGGCTCATGGATCACTGCCTCCAGCATCTCAGCATCGACAGCAGCATCCTGGGACACAAGATTTAGGATTTGATCTATTGCAATATTTGGCCCCAAAGTCGATAACTGTGCATCTACACCTAATATAATAAAAGTCAGCTGGGCTACGAAGTCGTTCTCCAGCTTCTTCTGTGGGCTCTGTGGGGCCATCATTGGATCGGCTGGCGCTGGCTCGACCTGCACGGATGCTAGTACAGCTAATGGTGAGGGTTTAATGCTAATCTTTTGACCCGGGAACAATCCATGCTATAAGGCACCTCCGAGTCCGACTGTTGGTACTTCTCTCGCCACTCCTTCCAGTCGGTTTCACTCGGAGGGTTTCGACTATCCCAGATGTCTGGGTCGAAGTCGTCCTCCTCAGCTCTTGTCTCAGTACACAAACACATACAGACAGAGACACACTGACACACAGACACACACTTCTACACACAAACACACACACAACACACACACACACAAACACACACACACACAACAAAAAACACATGTACACACAGACACACTGACACACATAGGCACACACACAGAGAGGCAAATTTATGTGTATACATGTATTTACACACTAACCAGTAAAACTGCAGACACATTAATGAAAGTAAACCTTAACCTCCTGTCAAAAGGCTGCAGGCAGCTACATAAGCCAAGGCACTCCATCCATCTTGGGAGCACAAGCCTCATGCTGCCCATACGACTGCATCTGTTGTGAGTTAAGGCTAAACCTACACACTCACACATAGATGCATGTTTACATGCAGATGCACATGTCACATGCAACTAGTGTTAATTCCAAGGCACCTGACCAGTGAACGAAGCAGGGATGACCTCCTGGTTCGCAGATTTATGACTAAGATGCTTCCAGGTTTCAGCTGCAGTTCCTTAAATGTTTATGTTGAGTTTATATGTGCACATATAGACAAAGTCAGATAGAGAGAGACAGTGAGAGAGAGAGAGAGATGGTGGCTTCATGCACAGCTAGCAAACACCCAAACAAGCAATCCTTCTCATCACACATCATGTCAATGCAGCCATCAAGGGGCACAGCAGCTGGAGCATCCTGCAGCAGGGAGGCTCAACACCAATACCATGAACCCTAATACACTAACTTGCACAGTCCTGGCTCTCCAAAGCAGATGTGCATTGCACAGAAACCAATGGGCGCACAGTTTCCTGCCAAGGAATTACATCATAAGACACTAGACTTTCTACACTTCAAAGGGGGGCCTCCAGCTTCAGCTCATCGATGCTGGCATCCATTGATGGACCCGGTGCTTCCTGCACAGGACCCAACTGTGCGCATGTGTGTGTGTGTGCATGCCATGTACACAGGTGAATCGGCCAACAGCTCCATCTCCTGGGCATCCACTGCACCCGGTGCTTCCTGTAAAGGCTTTAAGACTCATGTTTCTGTGCATGTGTCTATGTGCTGTTGACACCACCTCCTGGGCATCCATCATGGGGACCGGCGCTTCCTGCACAAGTTTTAAGCTCGATCATGTCTGTGTGTATGCCCTCATGACACAACCTCCAGCTCCATTTCCTGCTCGGCACCCATGACCGGGACCAGTGCTTCCTGTACAGGCTTTAAGCTCATGTCTGTATGTATATATGTGCTTTTGACACAACCTCCAGCTCCATTTCCGGCTGGGCATCCATGACCGGGACCGGTGCTTCCTGCACAGGCTTTAAGTTCATGTCTGTGTGTAAAGCTGTTGACACAACCTCCAGCTCCATTTCCTGTTCGGCATTCATGATCGGCACCGGTGCTTCCTCTACAGGCTTTAAAAGCACACCAACAAGTACATGATCACCTCAATCCAAGTCACCTGCTGTGCCCTCAATGTCGGTGCACTTGCAATCAAGCTCATGGGCAGGTCTTCAATCTTGAGCCTGGTTCCCGATTCCTTATATTGGGCAAGGCCATTTTCGGGAATCTATAGTGCACATGTACTCATAATATTAATGCAGCCAGGGCTCCACATCGGGTACCCCCACTCTCTCAGGGGTCTCCTGGATTGACTAATTAATATATTTTTTGGCAGTCACCAAGCTCCACTAAACCACTCACTCACACGATGTCCTTCTCAGATTCATGATCACTGTCACTGTCAATGATCACTTCTGCAATCAAAGGCTCCACAGCCTGCTGCAGGACTGAAATAAATGTAAAACATTCTGCCCACTATTTATAAACCAACCAAACCCCTTATCCTAAACAGGCACCTGGTCATGCGAACTGACATCGGGACATGGGCAACCGGTATCCACAGCCTGGCCGTCCTCACACATTGCAACATCTCAAACCCCTTGCAAAATATAAGCTTCTACTGAACCTGGCATCCGATCTCGGACGATGCAGTCGGGCCCTCATCACCCGGAGCCTTAGCTATAGGTTCACCGGATGAATCTAGCACTGTTTGGATCACCTTCAACAACACCCAGAACATGCAACCTAGATGTGCTGCATGCAAGCTCAAGAACTTCATCTTCCTCATCTGAGAAAATTTCGAAGATGTCATCTCCAAATGTGTTCGGCTGCTCGTCATCGTCATCGGCTTCATCGATCACCTGCCGAGCTGAAGTGATAAATATATATATATATATATATGTACATTGCATGGAAAGCCTAAATAGCTCACAAACTAGCAGAAGCACCTGGCCTCTGAGCTCATGCTAGCCTCCGACAACTTTCGCTGTGGTTTCTCGGGCATTGGGTGACCGTTCACTGCCATGTAGATGCCTTTCAGGATACAAAGTTCCTCGCTCCTGAATTTTGCACGGTCATGGAATCGATGAACAACACCCTAGCTCGATCATGATCGAATAGAGCTTGCATTGATGACATGTATGTGCAGTCCTTGCGAACACACTGCGATTCACACTGTGAATGACATAGCTCGCCAGCCAACGGAGGCGGGTGCCTTGAAGGTCACCCCAAGCTTTAAAGTCAGCCTTTGCGCCCGGCTGCTTGCCGACAGTCACAAAGTTGTACGCCAAAGCTAAGTAGCAAAGGGCGGACCGGTGTTCTTTGCAGGATATCAGATCTTTGCGTTCTTTAACCCCACGGAACAGGTGAGCAGCGTACGCCTTCAGCACCTCAAAGTTCTTGGAGCAGCTCAGGTCCTCCTTCATGACCCGTGTCTCCATGACATTCAGCACCCGGGCCTCCTATAAGCATTCAAAATTAAAACCCATACCTGTGCACATACACCGCACACAAACATACACATGGAATAGATTTCCAAGTTGAGTCACTTTGTCATTCTTCAATTCCTCCAGGCGGGACTCCACATGGGCCCGCAGGGCGGACACGATGCGCAAAGCGTCATCCTTGTATTAATGCTCGATCATGATGGTGCAACGACCCTCTATATTATGATGCAAGCCCAGTCTCACTCACAAAGAAACGGACAGGTCGCAGAACCTGTTTCCCCTGCACCACAGCACCAGTTGCGCTACACCGGCGCACCCCATCCAGGAACTTGAATCCCGACTCGCTCGCCATGCCTATGTCTGATCTAGATCTGATCTGCACATGTCGACATGCATGCAAGTATATGCATGCATGCACCCATCTCTTCCGGACTTCTGCTGTGTGCACTGCATACCTGCTGTACATGTCTGCACTACACATCTGCCAAAGCACACATTCTCATGAGCCCCGAAAAACTTGCATGCAGAATGCAGCACAATCATGATCAGCAAAGGCATGTGCACAACCGGATCTCAGCTGATGCAGCTACAGCAGGGCAGAGCCAGGGTGGGCACACCTTCAGCCTTTCTCTTTGCAGAACAGTACATCATCATTCCCATATAGCCCGGCATTGGAGAAATGCAATCAATTATGGAACCGAGCTCTTGCACATCACTTGTGTACATGTGCACATGTTTATAAATTTATAAATTAAATAGAGTATGATGCAGGTTCACTATATATGGAATGCTCATGAAAATGCACTGTGTCTAGTTCACACATTCAGCACCTCCTTACCTGCATGGCTAGACATACTCGCTCGAGGTTCCCTTGGCCGGCGAACAACAATTGCACAGCTGCATGGGGTTCACACCGAGCTTGAAATTAACTAATCGAACATCACACCCAACCCACACACTAGCACTAGTACTTGTAGCTACAAACACAGTTCACACCTACCTGGATCACACCCAACCCACACATGTAGCTTCAAACACAGACCCAAAGACACAAACACAGACACAAACCCACAGACACATTAACACACACTCTCTATAGCATACGTAGTACTAGCATGCAAGTGCAAACACATACACACACACACACACACTAGTACAGAGATTACTACAAACCTCCCTGGAATATGAATTCGAAGGATGAGAATTTAAAAACACCCACACACACACACCCACACATCTATGGACTATATAGAGACAGATATATGAACATATTTATAATAATATTAATATTAACTATATGTTTCAGTTTGACATATTTTCTTGACATCACAAATCCAATATGCAGAGACATGTACTGAAACCAGACAAAAACACGAGTGTCGTCTGAGAGCAAAGTGTCGTCTCTGTACATTTTGGGCCACGTTTCGCCTATGACGATACACGGAGCCTTTGGGTTTGGTACACCCCCGATCGATCAGGTGTCTGGATCAGTGATGACAACGCTCGACCACAGCTCGCCGCAGCCTCAGACCGGCAACGCATCCGGCAAGGCAGCTACGTACTTTTTCTTAAAAAGCAGTGAACCGACCTACCTTAAAGGTAGGTGCCGGCCCCCGTCGTTAATGCTAGCACCTCCTGGGGTGCCTGTGCGTGGGAAGGTCAGATCCCACAACAGGTGGGCTGACCCGCCCCACGTCAAGGCCAAACATGCTATAGGCATGTGCGGGCCTACCGCAGCTTTTCTTTTCAAGTCGAGTGCAGCAAGTTCAATCCAAGCTATGGCCGGCGCATCGAAAAGTCCGGGCAAGAGCCCAGATCACAAACGCACACGAATATCAGCCGATGCACATCAAGAAGATGCCGACATGCCGGACGGCCCTCCAGGCACCGCGAACTTCGGTGCACCTCATGCCCAGTCCAGCCTCCCATCTGAGGGGGGGGGCGGGACGGGTCCCAAATCTGGCATCAAAGCTCTCACAAATCAGGAGCTCACGCAGGCCTTTCTCCTTCATGACGAACAGCTTGCCTTGGTGCAGCTTCAGACCTCGCTGGTCTACAAACTGCCGGCGGGACAACCGCTATCCCAGATGCTGCTGAAGTTTGTACAGGCGTGGCAGGCTGCGCACAAGCAAGGCAAGGCTCATCCCCTTGGCGCAATCCATCACTACGTGGCCGG